ATTTTTGGAAAAAAAACACCCTGTTAATGCTGTCTTATTTACATATGTATGCATAAAAGACAGTGTCTGGATTTCAAAAAATTCAGCCTATTATAAAAAAATTGCCTTAAGTACCATATTAACAATTTTCTTGAGGTATAGAATAATGTACATTTAAAATATGCAGAAATTATAAGTGTAGGGCTTGATGGATTTTCAGAATCGTACCTTCTAATTAATACCAGACAAAAAAGTGACATTTCCACATCACCGAAGCACTTCTCCCAAAAACCTTCCTAATGATAACTAGTGTTTTGATTTTTTTTTTCTATTTCTAAACTTTTTAGGAACGGAATAATCTTCATTGCGTATAATTATCTCACTTATCATTGCCATATAGAATTCTATTATATCTCAGTATCATAATTGACAGATCAGTTCTATTGGTGGTAATATAGGTTATTTCTAGTTTGGGGTTGTAATTTGTGGCTGCTATAATGTTGTTATATTATTTATTTATCTATTTATTTATTTATTTATTTATTCTTCATTATTTACCCAGAAGAGGTGTTTTTGGTCATATGATAGTGTTTATTGTTCACTCTTTTACAGGAAGTATAGAAAATATTTACAAAGATAAAATATTTGAAAGTCTATTTTAGAAAGACTAAGTTGTTTATCATTTGTCTTATCATTGCTAAGAATGTCAGTATTTAATAATTTTCAATATTAAGAAAAAGTAATGAAATAGCAGAGAAGTGAAATCGTTTTTTATCAAATTTGATAAAACATTTTAAGACCGTAGTGAGAGAAAAATTACTTGTAAGGGCTTTTATAAATGGCTTTTTAACATGTAGGATATTAAAATATTCAGATATGCTCCTGTTTTAATTAACCTTTTTTCTTTTCTCCTTAAAATTGTAGGAACCAGATGTTAAAAAATTAGAGAACTTGCTTCAGGGTGGTGAAGTAGAAGAGGTGATTCTTCAGGTAAAGAACGTCGAACAGTTAGTGTTGTACGTCTAGTGCTGGTCTTGACCCGCAGCCTGTGGCTAAGTAAGACCTTGAGTGAAATTTGTGAACCACTGATATGGATGAGGACAGGCTTCTAAGTGTCGAAGAGCTTGTGGTGACTGTGAAACTTGGTGTAATATTCAGTACTTGATGGTAACTACACCATGACTTTAGAATTCTATGAAGGTCTGTGTTCTAGCAGTTAACTTCCAGGCATTACTTTGAAAATACCTCTTGAATAATTAATCAGCTGATCATATTTTCAATTTTTTTATTTTTTATTTTTATTTATTTTTTATCTTTTTTATTAACAGGCTGAAAAAGAACTAAGTCTGGCAAGAAAAATGTTGCAGTGGAAGCCGTGGGAGCCGCTGGTGGAAGAGCCGCCGGCTGACCAGTGGAAGTGGCCAATATGATCAGTGTCTGATGATGGATGTGAATTAAATGTGCAATTAAATGTTCTGTGATGCTACAATGTGGTCATCTTATTGACTTCTTTTAGTTAAAAGAAGTAGTATGTATGTATGTGTTATATTTTGGAGATTTTTTGGGGCACAACATTGGATAAGAGCACAGGGTCTTCTAAATCCTTTCACACTGGCCTGCTGTTCTTCGTTTCTGTTGTCACAAAATGAGCTTGCTGTTTCTTCATTGAATTTCTCCTGTTAGTGTTTTGGTCATCTTTGACAGATGTAGCTCAGCAGACAAGAAACTGATCTTTAACTTTGGTGTCTCCTGTTCTTGCTTTGCACATCTGGACTTAAGACTGAATATTCCAGTTACCAGACAGTCTTCCTTTAGGAATGAAAACGGCTTTTACCTTGGATAACCATGGATATATTCAGCTTGGGATGATTGTGAATTAGTGTGTAATGGTTTCATAAAGATGACAGATATACACTAGGACTGCCCTGAACAAACAGCATATGGTATCCTACTAGGGTAATGCTAGGCTGCCACTTACTGGAGGCCACATCTGTACATCTGTTGTGTGTGATGCCAGCAAGAGGCAGTTTCCATTGTGCCCCTAGTCTCACTTCCTCGTCTTTCAGATTTGCAGGATAGAAGAAAAGGCTTGTTTTGATTTTTCTCCCTCTCCTAAAGAATGCTGCTAACGAAGTCTGGGTGTTTCTTTAAAAGGATGAAAATTAACATCAGTGGGGCTCTTAGAGGTATACAAGTTATGCCCCTGTATACACATTAGTGAAAAACGCTAAATTGCTAAACATCACACATTTTTGTTTACATTAAGAGTTTCCATAAAAACCTGGATAGTGAGATCCTAAATTGTACATTCATATTGAAGTTAGTTGATGGAGACTACAGAAATGTATATCAAAGTCTCTAGAGGTAGTCAACTAAAGCTAGTTAGTGAAATGTAGTGCAAATAAGTGACTTAGTACTATCCTCCCCTGAATCGGAGCCGTGTGAGTGTGTGTGTGTGTGTGTGTGTGTGTGTGTGTGTGTGTGTGTGTTAATGGTGCTTGAAATTAAACCTAGGCCTTCACACAAGTGAGGCAAGCACACCGTATGTGTGCGTGCAGAACCAGAACCATAGGACAACTTGAAGTGTCATATTCCCCGAGCAGCATTCACCTTATTTTTTTTAATTTTACTGTTTGTTTTTAAAGATAGAATTCTCTCATTGACCTAGGAAGGTTCTCTTGCATTGGAATTATAAGTATGTACCACAACCCTGTTTTGTTTTGTAAACATGGCTTCTAGAAGTCAAATTTAAGTTCCTGCAAATCAAGCATTAAGCATTCTACAGACTGCCTCTCACCTGGTTCCTGGTGTGAATTCCTTGGGTTTTCATAGCACATGTGCAAGAAGAGTTGAGAAAGAGCTAAGAGGTCTACTAGGGACACAGACTGAGCTACTACTACCAGAATATGTGTGGGATGGGAACACAAATCAAGGCAGTATGTTTCGAATGTGCCATAGAACTCTTTAACTGCTTCCTACTCTGTTAGTTAATTTTCAAAGCAGTCTTCAAATGCTGTATAAGTGTAATCAATGAAATATTAATTTCTGTATATGATTGTAAATTGCAAGATATGTTTCAGGATATGATTCTCAGTTTTTTTCTTTTTTTGGGGGGAGGGGGGTTGGACCTTGTAGCTTTCTTAGAGATAAACATATACCACCTTATAACAGAATATCACATTTTACCTTTTCTGAGCATGGATTTCTTTTCCCCAGGGTAAAACAGTCCTGCAAATCTCTGGAAAAGGAAAAATAAAATCTGGAATAGAAAATTTTGCTATAGCTCATTCGTAAATAAACCCAATATAAGTTGATAACAAGGTTTTTTGTGGTCTGTATCCCACTTTAATATGAACAAGTGGTTTTGTCACAGAACTGTTAATGTATTTGATTCAGGATTGAAGATGTATTAATACAAGCTACATGTCCACATTACCTTTTAAAATTCAGTGAAATCTTGGATATCAAACATCTGACATACCTCAAAAATTTCAGGAACGTGAGGGTGGACCTCCACAAGTTCACAAATGACGCAAATTTAATCAGAGGTAATTTCCAAACAATTTTTAGTGTTGCAAATAATCATTCTAATAGTTTTCCTACTTACCTGTTTTTACCATGAGGAGTTAACTTCGAACGGCTTGATTTCATAAAGCCACTAGGTGGCGTCTTTGTAAAAGTGAAAACACTTTGGAAGAACTAGCCTACGAGTGAATACGAGATGACAAGGGAGACGACTGCACAGGTCAGGGATGAAAAGTAAAACTGAGAGCTTTAGTACTGCATTGTTTTTATTTTCCAACGAATACAATTTTTCTATGGCTTTTTTTTTTATTCAGAAGACATTGACATTTATGTAGCCAAACAAGTTTATGTATTTGTGAGAGAGAAAGTGTGGGGGGGGTGTGTGCTTTTAATGTATTAGTAACTTATACAAGTAACCTATGAGGATAGACCACCTAAGAAAAGTACATTCTAGGTAAGGCTGTTTTAAAATTTTAAACATTGAAAGCTAAGTTCATAGTACATTATCCATAAGCTATTAAGACAGGTGGCGGATATCAAGCTACACTTAACAGTGGAAAGAACACGAATTTTTCTGCTGTCTCTCTTCCTAACCCTGATGTTTTCATACTGCCCCTAACAGGAGCATAATGAATGGGAAGCCTTTGAAGGTGAAGGAGTGGGAAAGTGTTAGCAAAGAGATGGGAGTAGAATTGTAGCAACAAGGTATAAAGAAGACAACTCTTATAATGAGGGAAATGGACTTTATTACATGTTTTTAATTTGATTACACTCTTTAACAATCAAAGGATGTTAAACACAGCACATAATAAGGGTTTAAAATCTGGGCTCTCGATTCAGCCTGGGTTTTAATACTGGCTCTCATTAAATCTTTGGGTTTTTTGTTTGTTTGTTTGTTTGTTTTTTCCAGTAGTACGGCAGTGCTAATAGCAGTCCTTCAGTAGAATCATTGCATTAACTATTCTAAATACAGATGATGTGCTGTGCTTAATGATGATACTAAACTCATTATTGTTAGATTCCACATGAAATTTGTGCAGGGAACATATTTGATCCTTTCTCTAAAACTGATTTTAAGACTAAAGAATCTGATAGAAAAATAAAAGCTTTGCTTCTCCTGGTTTAAGGAGTATTTAATAGTTCTTCCTGTTCTTTCTGTCTGCCAGGAAGCTAAAGGAAAGATCTTAACTGGACAAAAGAAGGTAGGTAGACACACAGTTGTAAACTCACGTTCTTTTATAATTCCTGTCGCTCAGTATTCATATTTGCATTCTTGAAGAAGATAACCTGTGAGCTTAGACTGTTTACAGGACTGCCTTTTCAGAAGTGTGAGAGAACTCCTGGAGAGAGGTTAACTTTGAATAATCTTAAGGTCTCAGTTTCTGGAAGCTAACAATCTCTACTTCTGGCTTCTCCGCTTTTGCTCTTGCTGGCTGGTTCCTTTGCAACTGCGCGGGGGCGGTGCCCTGGCGGATGAAGCTGCCAGTTGCTAGGATACGCCAGCAACAGAACATCTAAGCAGAAAGGAGCTGCTTCTCAGGACTGGAGAAACCTCTTGGTCTGTAATAGCTGTTTCTAAAGCAGGTAAGAAGACACGTTTGGCAGCCTTCTCCTAGATGGCTGGTGGTTCTAAGTGGGAGTGACCCGGGTGTACCAGATCCTGCAAGGGTGCGGATCTCTCTTGGACACAGCGCTCTCTGGTCAGAGGCCAATGCTCCTTAACTTTACTTAAAAACAGAAAACTTACAAAGCATTAGACCTCTTTTGACCCTTCTCTAGTTATCCCCTCCCCACTGATTTGGTATCTTGAATCAACAGGATCAATATGAGAGGCTTACATCACCTTGCCTCCTGGGTGCTCATCATGGTAACACTGGAGGAGAGGAGAGTGCCCGGATCTGCCTATCTATGGAGACCATTTCCAGTCAGCAGGGAATTCGGCCTTTAGACTTTCCTTACCAGGCACGCTGCTTTCTTCCAGTCATCATCTTACTTATTAACAAAAACTTCAGTAGGCCTATTCCATAGACGACAAGACAGAATCTCTGCCTTACCAGTATTCTAGATATAGCAGACTTTAATAGAAAGAAATAAAATCATGCATTAGAGGTGAAGTGGTAGACTTTTTTATATGTATACAATCTCAATAGGTACCGTGTTTTATTTTTAAACCAAAGACTGAAACCTATTTGAATTGATAATGTATAAAAATGAGGGAAATTCAGTATCCTTGGGGATGCCATGCCCTTAGCACTAGGGAGATGAGGCAGGAGGATGGGAAGTTTAAGGCCAGCCTGGGATACATGGTGAGATGCTGTGCCACGAGGTCCACACCTCCATCAAATAGTGTGACACTGTCTTAGTGGTTTAGTGCCTGAGGAGGCACCATGACCAAGGTGACACTAAGAAAAGAAAGCATTTAATTGGGGGCTTGCTTACACCTTCAGAGGTTAGTCCATTCTCACCGTGGGCAAGCATATAGGCATGGCACTAGAGCAGCAGTGGAGTACCACATCCTGATCCACAGTTGCAGGTGGGGATGGGGCGGGGACACGGGCTTTTGAAACCTCAAGGGCCACCCCCAGTGACATACTTCCTCCAACAAGGTCATACCTCCAAATCCTTCTAATCCTAACAAAGAGTTCCACTCCCTGGTGACTAAGGACTCAACTATATGAGCCTATAAGGGCCATTCTTATTCAAACCACTGCATGCTTTAAGCAATAAAAAATTGAATAGTAAATATCTTAAACCATTTCAAACCTCCCTTCCACCCAAAAGAAATATCAAAGGGCTGGAATATGGTGTTAAATTTTAAGAAAAGAATTTTATGGAATTTATTGGAGGTCTGCATGTCTTTTGACTTTTCACGTAATTATAGAAGCTTCTTTTGCAGTGTGTTTAAATCTGTAAAGAAGAAGACGTACATTTGCTGCAGCCCTACCTTTTACTTGTATATAATAGAAGATAGCTTAAATGTTCGTCAGTAGAACAACAATAGAATATACTGTGGCTCACTTAGCTCTGTAATGAAGTTACTATACAATTGTTGAGAAAAACGAGGTAGAAATAGATGTTTTCAAATGTAGTACATAATGAGTAAAAAAACAAAGCTGCATCAATGTTTACAAATACGGGAGAGTTTATATATTTAAAGATATATAGTTCCAATTATAAATTCATCAATGAACAATTTGTAGAATTCTATTGCTTCACACTAAGAAATAATACTAGATATTGACAATAGGGGGTTATTTTCTCCCTTTCTGTTCTATTAGCTTAATTTTTTTCCTTTTAAGCATATTCTGTGCTCTTAAAAACTATGTTAACTTAATTAGCAATAATCTTTTAACATTAATTGAAAAACTTGCAAATGAATAAAAACATCACAAATCAAAATTAAGCAGACCCAAAGGCTATACAACTCAGTGAGCTTCTGGCCCACGAGAACAGGCATTTGGAATGGAAGTTGTGGACCTTCACTTTCAATTTGACATTTCCCGGATCGAATATATTTTATTCCTTATTCACCACCAATCCCAAAATTGTTCACGACAACATTAGAATTACAAAATAGTTATCTTTATACTCTCTTTCATGGCCTCTGTTATAAAAATTGTGATAAAGTTCATAAAGTTGAAAGTTAATTTTAAAAAATCTATCCAAATTGTAGCTGGGCTGCTGCTGCTGCTATGTATGCTTGGAGTATCCCAACGTTTCCAGCGCATCCTGTAATATTCGTGCTTGATCATTTACATGTAAAACATGCTGCAGTGAGTGTTTATACATATTGATGCATGCAAGCGGAGTGTGTTAATAGACATATGGGGAGTGTTAGGAATCGATATTAATTAGCAGCTTATCCTAGCTGAGTGAAAATAAAAACCCTCTATACACCCTCGGCTCCATTTTAAATCATTTCCATGTTTCCAACTTACAAATACAGGACAGTCTCTGATTGTGAAATTACTGTTTAGGTTCCAGAGGTGACCACCTATAGCACAGAGTGGGGCAAACACATATTAGCTTGTGCGGATGGATGGACGTGGCGGTCCCAAGAGCACCCCTGTCAGTATGCCGCCATCTGAAATGAGGTGATATAGCCAGAGGGTCCCTTGTCAGGTTGATAGCGTGTTGCTTGGACTTTCAGTCTTCAGGATTGTGAGATAGATAAGCTACCTTTCTTTTGAGAACATCAATCTCAGGATCGTAGGATAACTACCTCACTCTCTCCTGAAGGGAGCACCCTGGTGATTTCCCACTAGGTTCCACCATTTAAAGGCCAGTCACTACCTTCTAGAATTATGTAAGGGCCAACCTTGCAAACACATGAAGCCCTGGGGTTACACACTCAATCCAAACCCATACTAGTGTAGTGAGACTGCATGGATGGCTATACGTGGTAGTCTTAATGCTTCTTGTGGTAAACCAAAGAAAACCTGTTATTTGTTTGTAGAAGAGGTTGTTTTTTTTTTTTTTTTTTAGCTTTCATGGATTTTTTTTCCAGTAAACCAAACCCCAAAAGTAAGCAGTGGACAGTAGTCATAGCCTCTGCTCTGTCACACTGAATTAAGAGCAGGAGAAGACATCCGGGGTCTTTCTGTGGCAGATTGCTTCTGTCAGCAGGAAGCTTTATATCGTATCCATCGACTTCAACAGTTGCATGTTTTATTTCAAACACACACACACACACATATGCATATGTGTGTATGCATCTTCTAGTATGGAGATCATTCATCTTCTAGAAGGGTTGATAACTCTATTATTTTTTCCCATAGGGATGGTACTCAAAATGGACGACCCAGAAAGAGATTTTACCCCTCACTATGGCTGCTGGGTTTCATCTACAGTGGGCAGAGCCATAGCGAGTCAGCCTATGGGTTGCAACCATCCCCCTTCTATTGATAGACTTCTTTCTATGCTGGCCCCTCCTGCTCTCAGTCAGTCCTTACACAGCCTGGCTTTGGGGTGATCTGGACCACATTGGGCTAAACACTGAAGCACTGTCATTTTGCTTCCCAAAGTCAAGTCCTCAGTTATCGTAACTTTGATGCCAATTACCTTGCAGCGTGTCCTACGTTTGACCTATATTTGATAGGATATCTATGTTGGGGTCATAGGTCATCAAAATGTCTGCTTCCATTTGTGAGAGCAGAGCTACTGCAGAGTGTTTTGTTTTTTTTAAATCCAGGGTACATTGTCTGTTTGGGTTTCTCGAAATATTGATTCCTTTCTATTGGCAAAAGCATAAATACCGTATTAGTTGTATATTCTGGAAAAAAATGAGCAGGCTCATTCTTAAAGAGATGCTTCACTGAATAAGAAAGAAATAAGAAATAATATTTTCCACCAAATGCTCTCAGAAAATATCATATTCCAAATTCTATTTTTAAGATTCTTGGTTATTTTTAATTTTCTGTACTTTTTTTAAAATTAAAAATCTCATCTGATGCCTGTCACCAGTAAGAAAATAAATGTAAAAAAATATGTATCAGTATTTTAGGTTTCTGAGAGCTTTGTCTGCACGTGTTTATGGGTACCACATGTGAGGCTGGTGCTCTTGGAGAGCAGAATTGAGCATCAGATGCCCAAGAACTGGAGCTTCAGGCCTTTCTGAGCCATACCTGCGGTGCTTGAAACCAAACCGAGGTCCTCTGCATGGTCAGCAAGTGCTCTTAACCACAGAGCTACCTACCTGTCCAGCCCCAGTGAAGAAACACTTAAATATGTAGTAACTTCAGTTATTTGTCTTAGTTTAGGAAAATGTCTGATATGGAGGAGCACGACCCTGATACCACAGCCGACGGTGAATCGGCCGGTGAAATCATCAATATTCCTCGTCCTTCAGAAGAAGCAGAAGGGTCAGATACATCGCCAGAGCCAGAATCTGAAATGGGGGAATTCACCACTGAGAGCGAGGAGACAGTTGACAGGCACAGTGAACTCAGTATTTCAACCCCCAAATCCTATGACTCCAAAGCCAGGGAAGAGGTCATGTTCCTTGAAAGTCCCACAGAATCTCAGGAACAAGATTACAAACTTCCAGATTACCAGAGAGCAGAAGATGATGAGCTGTCATTTCTGCATAAAATAAAAGCTATAAAGGAGAATTTGCAGACATCAGTGAGAGAGTCGTTAGCAACAGGTATCAGCTGTGGGAGACCACATATTTTATTTCTTTGTTTCAAAGGGTAGTTTTTTGTTTCATTTAAACTTCAGTGGAAAAGTTTAAAAGTTCAATTTAAAAGTCTCTCTTTTTACCTCCCCCTTCCCTCTCCCTTCCCCCTCCCTCCCCCTCCTCCTCCTCCCCCTCCCGCTCCCCCCCTCTACCCCTCCCTTCTGTGTGT